GGTATGGATGTTTTCTGGAATGACCCAATGTATTTTATAGTATGATGAACTTTTAGTGTGGTCCAGGGGTACGTTCCCCTGGGAAAATGTTTAAATTCTAGAGTCGAAAAAAAAATTTGTTAATTTAACAGGGTATCAAACATTTCTTATCAAACATACCCTGTGTTAACAGGGTATGTTTGATAAGAAAATGTATTGTTTTGGCATTTTTTGGGGGGGGGGATAAAAATAAATGCCCGGGGTGGCTGTAAGTATAGGTTATTTTGAGGCAATGAGGGGATATGTGATTTATTCACCGAGGTGAATAAACACATATCCCCGAGGTGCCTCAAAATAATGTACTTATTTTTCACACTGCGAGGTCGCGTTAATGAATCAGAATAGAAATAATTCTTAATGCTATATTGCCTTCGCGATGTTGTTTTTTCTCATTTTTTTGTGCTGCAAAGACATTGCAGGTGAATATTAGAGGGGATTATTAATTGCAGGTGAATATTAGACGGGATTATTAAACGGAAATTGATTAGAGGGGAATATTGAATATATTCCCCGACAAGAACAAAGGAAACCGAGCAGGGTGAAAAATAAGGCAGGGTTCGACTGCAGATGCATTAGGGTGCAATGCTTATTTTACTCTTCAAGAGGAGAGTGCTGGCACTCAGTGGCTTGATTGTTTTAGGTTGATGAAAGTGATGTTGAAATACTCACAATGACTCCAAGTGTGGAAGCAACAGCTCCTTCTGTTACTGATTCTTACAGATATCCAAGAGCAGGTGAGTTTTTCTCAGTCGGGTGGATGGTTGGTTCATACTGCTTGTGAAGCTTGCAAGTCAAGCAGTTAGATAGCCAGTCATGATAAGGAAATGACTCTTGTTTACTTTGAAGGAACACAGAATGCTACATCCTGTTTGAAGTTAGTTGAATTCTCTATTGAAGACACTGGTGAAGTGAGTAATGTTTTCTACATTGCTAATTAGTTCTTATTGCATGCACTTATAACCTAATATATCTCATACAGAGTGCAAAATAAATTTAATTAAAGAACTGAGATTTCCTGCTACAAATAGTGGTCATATGTTGAAAACCTAATTCCCCACCCTCCCCCCACCATTTTCACAAAGTGTCTGCCACTGACTGTGTGTTACACTGTACTTTAGTTCAGGGAAGAGACAACTAATTATGAGTTGAAAGTTTCATTACGTGAAGTATTTCCTTGGTTCGAATACATAGTTCGATGTGGTTGGTTGCCTGATGGTAAAAGGTGAGGAAAGAACCACTGCTCAAAAGTCATGTCTACTCAACTTTACTTTATGAATGCTTAACTTTAAGTTGAGATACCAATCACTTGCTTGACTCAGTCGCACAGTTGGTCAGTCAAAAAATCAATTTTCCTGTAGAATGTTTGAAAAATCAGTATCAGGTGGACACTCTGAGTGCTGCTGAGAGGCGCTGGCCCCAACCACTATGGCCAGTTCAATCCTCAGCATTTGCAATTTTTAAAATAATGATATCTGTACTTGGTTTGCATCTTGTTTCAGTGTTTGGGCACAGCTTTTGGACAGATCTCAGCAGCGACTAGTTTTAGTCATAATCCCATTGTCCCTGTTTGTTCCAATGCAATCTGAAAACAGTATGGAGTATGATGGCAAGGATTTCTCAGAGACCATAAAGATTCTCATTGATGAGACCTCAGATGTTTGGATAAATGTATGTTGTTAGTCATGTGCTGTGCATGACCAAACCTTTAGAATAAAATCTGTAAATTGTGCTGTTGTGTGAAATATTACCTGGCCTAGATTCATTGTAAATTATTGATTTTTTAGGTCTGTGATATTATTCATTTCTTTCCACCACCTGAGAGTCAGTCGCATCTAATCAAGTTTATTTGGGCAAGTGAAATGTCAGGATTTCGTCATCTTTATTTGGTGAATGTTGACAGTAGCCAAGGAACACCTTGTACTGCTGTGGTCAGTCAGTGTGAAGCTACATACTACCAGTTTACATCTGGGGACTGGGAAGTTGATGGCAGTAAGGTGTGTTTGGTTGCCATTTCAACCATTATATTACCTCAATCATCATAATCATGACCAACCATCACCCATGACCACTGCCCATCACCACCAACCATCACCAGGAACCATCACCACCACCCATCATTACCACCATCATCATCATCATCACCACCATCAACACCATCATTATCATCACCACCAACCATCATCACCACCATCACCATCAACATCACCACCATCATTAGCATCACCAGTACCACCATCATCATTAGCATCACCGGCACCATCATTTCAACCACAATTACCCAGAGACAGATTTTCATATTTTCGTTCGGAGGGAGGGGGTGTGTGGATAAATATCGGGGGGGGGGGTGCTGCTGAAAATTACTACTAAATTTTACAAATTTAGTAGTAATTTATTATTTCTTACTACTAAATTTTACAAATTTAGTAGTAAGAATAATCAAATATGAACCTATCAAATCAAAATAGATGTAATTTGCGGGGGTGCCAAATGCCTTTGGGGGTGTGCAAATCATTTCTGGGGGGGGTGCACACCCCTCCTCCCCCTGCACCCCCCAGAAAATCCGTGCCAGCAATTACCATCACCGGTACACAACCATCATCACCACCAACCATCACCACCAACCATCACCACCACCATCATTAACATTAGCATCACCAACACCATCATCTCAACCACTATTATTATCACCATCAACACCACTACCATCATCACCACTACCATCATCACCACTACCATCATCACCACCATGTTAAATGTTTAAGTTAATTTTTCATAGATTTGGTTAGATGAAAGTAAGGGTGTCGTTTACTTTATGGGAACAAAAGACTCGCCTGTTGAACAACATCTGTATGTGGCCTCGTACGTGAACCGCACACAAAATGTTGCCCGTCTTACGCAACCTGGCTTCTCTCATAGTGTGACCATAAATGAGGTACTGTAACTCAGGAAGCCAGCGTGGTGGTCAGCGTCAGAAAATATTGTCGAGGAGGAAACAAATTAAACTCTTTCATTTAATGGACAACTTGCATGTTAAACTAAACTTTAATCTAAGTAAAGAGAAGGGAATCAAACACCACAGCTAAAACGAACAGAATGGAATTAGTAAAATTGCAAAATTTGGTTGCGAAATGTTGCAAAGCTTGGAAAATATAGCCTTGCAAAGTTCGCAAATTTTGT